ATGTTGATCGCAAACATGGCCATGTCCGACCTGCTCTATCCAATATTCTTGTTCCCCGTTCGACTGGCAGATTTGCACGTTGGCTCGTGGCTTATTGGTGGAACCCTTGGTCAGGCCTTGCGCAAGATACACGTTTTTCTTGCTGACATTTCCACGTTAGTGTCGATTCAGAGCCTGGTTCTGATAACAGTGGATCGATATGCAGCTGTTGTAGTTCCACTCCGTTCACCCATCATCAGTCGCAAGGTGTGTAGCTGTTTGATTGTTGGTACATGGATACTCGCAGCGGCCGTTCATTCGCCATATTTGTTTATCTTCAATCTTGTTGAAAACCAAGAAGAAAAGTTGTGCGTGAATCAGTGGGAGGTGATATTCGGAGAGAAAACCTCAGTTGGTATTTACCTGCTATCAGCTTCTACCTTTTTCTTTTACATCCCTTTTGTCGTCTTGGTGATACTTTACTCCATCATCCTGATCAAGCTTAAAAAGCAAGTCCATCCAGGTGAACAGTCAGCCAACGCTGAGGAACAGAGGACAAGAAGAAAGAGAAATGTGCTTAAGATGACCGTTGCTATCGTTCTAGCGTTTTTCATATGCTGGATACCCTTTTCTATTAACGCAATAATATCTTATTTAGCACCAAGAAAGAATTGGGTTTTTTGTAAGTTTTTGGTATCTCATAATGTCGCCTTGTTTATGGCTTACACAAACTGTGCTATCAACCCGATTATCTGCCTTACCTTTACCGGTAACTATCGCCAAGCTCTTAGGAGACTTGTGAATTGCTGTGGTGTAGTGCAAGTAAAGTGAAATCTAGGGCTGATCGAAGTGATTCTTAAAAAGAAGCGACCAATATTAATAACTTTACTGTAAATAATACCGAAAATTAATGCAGCATACAATCTCTCTTGGGACGGCTGTAAGACCCAGGAGAAATGGGGGGAATGAGGCTCGTTATGGGAGAATAGCGGTGAATAAGAGATTTACCGAGCGCCGGTAAACTGTTTGAAATGCGGGTTACCCTAAACTCGGAGCCGAATATAAAATTCAGTAGCTAGCTTTCTCGCTTCTTTTTTCGAGGAAAAATGTTAAGAGTGTTTTTTTTCTCTGTTTCAGCGGTTGCTTTTTCTATGGAATGCCTTATTTTCCAATATCGTTTATATGCTGAATCTATTGTCTCAGCATGGCAAAGTGATCCGCCACTTTTTTCTTTTTGTTTTTGTTGTTAGTGTTGTTGTTGTTGTTTTTGTGAAAACGTGCCGGCGTAAGGAAATGGCGCCATTATTTCATTTTAATTGCAAACATTCTGCTCCCTAGAGCAGTATTTGGAATATATTTTACTTATTTCAGAACTGGAATAGTAGGTCAGTAGAACGGCGGATTCTCGGGTATTCTATGTATTCCTATTGAGATCAAGCCAAGTTAGAATTAGTGTTGGTTCTGTTGTTTTTCAAAGTGAGAATTAGAAACGTGTAAAAAGAATAGTAAAAAGAGACGTGTCATCGTAAATGTTAATAGTTGGATCATAATTATCTGCTTTTGTATAAATGGTTATTGTATGTTGTACATACAACCTTAACAGGCTTAGATGAATATATATAGCTATTCCGCCGCAAACTTACTTCAGCTTTCTTAGACCGGCCTTTTAATCACTTTGATCGCTATAATGACTTTCTGATTGCATTTTGTTTCTGAGCTCAACGATTTAGTGAATAAAATTTCATTAATTTTGTAGTTGACTTTGCTTTGCTTTACTGAGTAATTACGACTTGTCATTTGTGTGTGTATGTTTTATCCCGGCAAATTTTGACCTCTTTGATCACAGTACTCTATTTGTCATCTCTCTTGCATTAGTTATTTTCCATTCTAGGACGCCATTTAACTGATCAGAACGGTATTCAATCGATTGCATAATTGTACGCTTAATGAAGATGAAACAGAATTTCTTTGTCAAGGCTACAAATCACTGTAATTTGTCCACCCGAGCCTCGAGTTGGTGCATTTGTTTACTGAAATGCGGGAAAGGTCTATTACTACCATGCCTTGTGTTTTTGTAAGAGATTTAACGAGCGAGGTTAAACTGTTAGGATTACGGGTTACCCTGACACCGAGTGAAAAATTCAGTACGTATATTTTTCGCATTTTTTGTGTGAGGAAAAATGGTATAATAAGCTTGAGAGTTTTTTTCTCTCTTCCAGAGAACTAGCCGTTTCAACGGAATGCGTTTCCTAGCTTGTTTATATGTTGATGATTGTCACTGACGACTTGGTGAAAACTTCCCGCCGCAAGAAAATGAAGTAATTATTCCGTTTTCTTCCAAACATTCTGCTCCGCTGGGCGATATTTGGAATAATTATTCCACTTATTTCAGAGCTGTAATAGCAGGTCAATCAAACGGATTTTCCGGATTATTTTATCTTTTCCTTTTGTGGTCAAGCCAAGGTTTAAAAGTCATTTTTCGGAGTAAGAAAAAATTTCTTAAAAAGGCTTTTTTTAAAAC